ATTCTTGCAAAGAAACAAAACACAAAAGCACAACAAAACAAAACTTTTTAAAATTGAACTTCCCTATGACTCACCCTCAATAAATGCTTTATACCATTTTTATACAGTTATGTGCCTGGATTCACGTAAAAATTCTTTTTTTTTTGGGGGGTCACATCCGGCGATGCACAGGGGTTACTCCTGGCTCTGGCTATGCACTCAGGAATTACTCCTGGTGGTGCTCAGGGGACCATATGGGATGCTGGGGACTGAACCTGGGTCGGCTGCATGCAAGGCAAATGCCCTCCCCTTCTGTACTATCACTCCAGCCCCATGTAAGAATTCTTGAGTGGAAAGGGGTCACAAGTGGAAACAGTTTGAGAAGCCCTCTTCTACCCTCCCATAAACTGAGTTTCCGCTGTCCTGAAGGGCAGGGAAGGGTACCTCCAGGACTGTGGGGTCTGCAATCCACCCAAGAAGCTGGGATGCTGGAAGAGTGCAGAAGATGAGATACTGCATGGAGAGGTTCCCCGATTCCCACCCACTGCTTGATGCTGCTGGGATGACAATGGCTGCATATACACTGACTATGGTGCACGTTTGGTGGCGGTGGGGCAAGGACTTATCCTTCCGGCCCTGCCGCCCACTCGGTTCACCCACCAGGCTGTGGCCTGGCTGTAAATGATTTGCTGGAGCAGGATCACGAACATCAGAGATGCCACGAACAAATAATTGTGCTAAGAGGACCGCATGGGGTGCATGCGAGTGGCACCAGGGGTTGAACCTGATGCCTGATGCTTGTTAGACAGGCACGTTCATCCTGAGCTAATCTTGTGGCCCCTACGTTGAGAGGGCTTGATGAAGATCTTAAGAGGAATGAAAATGCCTGTGATCAACAAGGGTTGGAATAATCAGCAGATGTCTGAGAGAGAGCAACGTTGGAATGTCCTGAAAATAGGAATGATATTTTGGCGGGCACTGTCAGGCAAGGAAGGAAGGAGGGAAGGAATGCCTTAATACAGGATAAGAAAGTTAAAAGTGTCTTGGGGGCCAGGACTGCATAGAGCCCACCTGGATCTGTGCACACAACAGCCCCATAGGGTCCCAGAGGCACTCCAGTAGGGATCCCTAAGCTCAGGGACAGGAGTGAGTACTGATCAACACTGGATGTGGCCTCCAAACCAACCCCAAATGCTCTTGAGCTGCCATTGCTTTCTTCCGTTCTCTGATGCCTTTCCTCAAAGATCATTCTACGCATTGCTAGGGACACACTCTCTTGCATTCAGCCAACTTTTCAGCTGGTGACAGAATGAATACTCCAAACAACAAACGGTAGAAGAGGCCACTGCGATTCCCACCTGTCCTGTTAGGGGCCTCTAGCCTTCGGCTTCTAACTGCCATGCTCCAAAATCCACTCACACAAAGTGACCCAACGGCACAGGGCCTCGTCGGGGCAGACCAGCCGACACTGCCCACCTCAGCACTCCTGACCACCTTCCCCACCCCTCCTGGTTCAGAAAACAGCTTCTGTTCTCCAGAGAACACGAGCTGTTTTTTGGTGTCTCCTCCCCTGCTGTCTCTAAGGATGTGAAACACAGTTCTGGCCCCGCCCAGGTCCTCCTCCCCTGTCCTCATTCATAAGTGTTCAGCTCTGAATGGACGCCTTTGAAAGAGGGCACTGTTGGGGCTGGAGCGATAGCACAGCAGGTAGGGCGTTTGCCTTACATGCGACCGACCTGGGTTCGATTCCCAGCATCCCATATGGTCCCCTGAGCGCTGCCAGGGGTAATTCCTGAGTGCAGAGCCAGGAGTAACCCCTGTGCATCGCCGGGTATGACCCAAAAAGCAAAAGAAAAAAAAAGAGGGCACTGTTAATAATTACTCCTCTGTGGCGCTAAACTGACGCTAGACCCCTAGTTGAGATGTATAATCACCGCATATACTATTCCAGTTTATTTGTTGGTTCAGGTTGGCCTGGCAGTGCCAGGGATTGAAACTAAGTAAGCCATGGCAAACAAGTGCTCTACCCACGATGTTATAGCTCCGGCCCCCACTATTAGTTTCCAATTAACACAGAGCGATTACGCACCTATTACGCAAAATTAAAACTGTAGCATTGATATTGAATCTTCTACATCTTTAGGTTGTGGTTTTCCTTCTTATTATCTTCCCCCCCCTTCCTCTTTTTTTTCTTTGTCAGGATCAGACCTGGGGGGGCCTCAGACAAGCAAGGCAGGTGACACACATTCCTGGCCTCAGGTTGTAATTTTTTACAGGCATCTTAATTGCAGTAAGGCCAGATCATGTCCCTTCCTAAAACCCGTCCATCGTTATATTCCTTATCTAAGTGTACGCATCACCCAGTCACTCAGCTCTCCAAGCTGGGGATTGTTTTAAGAGTCACAATTTTTCATAGTATTTAATCACTACACCATGCTGACTTCAGCTCTGAAGATTTCTCTAATCTCCTGTATTCCCCCAGACTACTGTCCTATCTTTTAAAAACTTGGTTTCTTTGCTCTAGTCTTGTCTCCTAAAAGTTCACTTTCACAACATAAGGGATCTAAAACTGACCATACTTCTTTAATCTTTTTATTGGCTTCTTGTCGAGTACAGGGTGAAGACACATCACAATTCCTGCTCTTCTTTAAGTCTGTTTAGTTCTCCCCATTTCTATACTGAATAATACCAAATATTTGTAGAAACACATACAGAGCCATTAGATTTCACTTTCAAGGCTTTCTTTCCTCATTCAATTCCTTTTGGAAAGCTGGAATGTGGACACCCTTATTTATCTTGCTCCCTCTACAGCACTTCTGGGTGACAGCTGGTGCATCAGAGAGACAGTATATCTCTCCCTCAAGCTACCTTACTATCCACACCTCAACCACAGCACTGAATTGGTTGATATGGAGTGAATTATGTCCGTTTTTACTATTGCCGGTAAGCTTTCTGAGGACAAGCATAGGGCTCTTTGAATATGTAACAAATAGTCACCCCCTATTATCAAAGATAACATTAACTATGAAGGATTTAACCAAGAAAATTAAAATAAATTGGACAAAATACTAAAATGGATGAATGTCATTCCCCCCTGCGTTTCTCCACATGTGCCTATATGTTTTATAAACATCATTAAGTGCAAGGATTAAAAATATGTAAGAGTGTCAGCTACCCAAAATGTGGTTGTTTTATGCAGCTAATTTGCAGGAGTAGCTGTTAGTACCGGAGACAAGATCATTAAATTAAAAAATATTGCTGTGGAGCATCAAAGCTAGAAGTAAAATATTAACTGCTTAAGACTACAGAAAATTCTAATATATTCCAACAGTTGCTTGGAAATTTTATGGAAACATTCTCTACAACTGATTGTTTGTTTTGCTTTAGACCCATACCCAGTGGTGCTCAGGGCTTACTCCTGGCTCTGCACTCAGGGATCTCTCCTGGCGGTGCTCAGGACACCACTGGGGATTCTGGGGATCAAATCTGGGTCAGCTGCGTCCAAGGAAATATGCCTTCCTTGCTCTACGATCTCTGGCCCCCTACAGAGCTGTTTTTATTTATTTATTTATTTATTTATTTGCTTTTTGGGTCACCCCCAGCCGATGCTCAGGGGTTACTCCTGGCTCTGCACTCAGGAATCACTCCTGGCGGTGCTTGGGTGACCATATCGGATGCTGGGAATCGAACCCGGGTTGGCCGTGTGAAAGGCAAACGCCCTACCTGCTGTGCTATTGCTCCAGCCCCTACAGAGCTGTTTTTAAACAAGGATCTTTATTCCTTTAATATTTATTACTAACTTCTTTTTTTTTAAATGATAAAATTTTACAAAGAAAGGCTGGCATTGAATATCCTAAGATCCATTATCTATCAAATCTACCAGAAGATCCTTCTTGCTTTACCACATTTCCTTTGACAATTTTACAACTTCCACGTTCTAATACGATAAGCTTTGACTCAGAAAAAAGGAGCTTTATACTCATCTGCCAAAATCCAAACTATTTGACCTTCCAGGCACGGAAAATACCCACATTTTGTTGATAAAAATGTGGTTCTCCTGTCAGTTATTCATTCAAGCAATTTTGGGGGGAATTAAACAAGTATAATCTCAAATTTTAAAGAATATTATTAGTGCTACCAGAGGCATAACAAGAGCATCTGGCACAACTGGTATTCAATGAACAAATAAAGAAAACTACATAGCAATTTAACAGTCAAGATTATGAATGACTCCAAATAGTTTATGTGCTTCTGACAAAGTCCTACTCTTATCATGGCTTTTTATTTCCTATTTAGTCATCACTTGGCGCAATCTTTCCTAATTATATTTTGGCTTACAAATCTTGTTTTGTGAACTGTGATTATTTTTTTTCCAGAGAAGGAAAACAATTTGAGGTACTTTGAAATTTAAAACATGTGCTGATATTTTCTTCAAGCTGAGGATTATTCAAAACAGACAGGCGCTGGCTTCTCCGTTCCCGACAAGCACCCTAAGGTGGGTATGATGAGATGGGCATTCATCCATTTGGCACTGTATTGAGAAATACATTATCCTATCGGAGAAGTTCACAGATCTTTAATGCAACACTTAATTTTTATTGGCAAGTTGTTCGTACTGTAGGACAAGTTCAAGCTCCCAGCAGAAGCACTCGACTACTCCTTACCTGTCAGAAGGTGGAGCTCTAAACATGTCTGAAATCCTGGCTTTTCATCCCTGTGCTTCACCAATGTGCTTAATGAGGAGATTAAAGCAGGAGCAAAGTCTTTAGAAAAATGATTCTGAAGAATATTCCAATTCTCCCCGGATAAAAAAAATCACTCACTCCTCCCAATATGTACATGGTTAACAAAAAAAGATGTTTGGTGTGTTCCTTGGAAACTTTAATTATATTGCCCTCCAGAATAGATGATAGATGCCCTCCAGAATAGGTGTATAAATGAGAATGAAGGATAGAGTCTAGTTGGGAGATAAAAACACATTTCAAAAAATCAGGACCACAGGTCAGGTCACTGGTACTTACAAGCATCTCGGATGTAGAGTAACATGGCTATGAAAATATAGTCGACTAGACTCAGGCTGAGGCCGTCTGCAAACAGGGCATCCCAGACCACCAGAAGATCCTGCAGAGGAAACTCTCGTCCGAACAGTAGCCTGACCCACCGCCTGGAGGGAAACAAGACCCAAATCCAGAGAACATTACTTGGAGAGTAACCACACAGTCATTAATTTGTAGTCCTGTATGTGTGAAAGGCAAGTAATAAAAGGAGAGGAATTTTGCCTATTTGAAAAAAAAAAATCCACAAATCACAAAGAAGTGAAAAAAATAAAAATAAGTCTCTGTAGTGTTTGACAGTTGCTTCATATGTAGGTTAGGAATTAAAAACAGATTTTCTAACTTTCTTGATCACTGCTCTATTTTGGGGAGGTGGCAGGTTAAGCGGACATCTGCAAATGGCTGTAACATCAATTACACAGTCAACAGAAAATCTTACTCTCATATTTCATACTCTTATTTACCACATTTATTTTAAAATCAGATGGGGGAAAACTAGCAGTTGCCATTTTTTGTTTTGTCAAACTCAGAAAAGTTATTTGTAATAAAAATCAAAAATGTGTAATTTTTATTTTGAAAACAGGTAACATTCATGAGGGTAACTTTCTTGGGATATATTTCAAAACACAGCTACTCCTATTGCCAGGGAAACGGTTATCTGCAGTACAAAGCAGACATGAGCAGCTAAAAGGAAAAGTAAACGAAATCTATATATAATATATATTGTAAATAGTAACACTTCGAAATTTCAATCAATGCTAACCAAATTATTTACACATTGAACATTAAAATAACTGACTTTGCAGTGTGGCTTCCACTTGTAATTTCATAGAACGGCTACAATTTCTTCACACAAGCCTTTCTCATGAACTTCAGCTAGAATGCGATGTGATTTTGGCACAGAGCAAAGAATAAAAATGTCTTATTTCTAGTACTATCATATAGTGTAGAATAAATGGAATTCTTTAAGAGAATTAGCTAAGAGATATCCTTTGCAAATTAGAAGCCAAGCATGACCATCTGTGGGGTTAACAGTAGACAAAAAATTCAAATGCTTTCCTCAGGGAGTATTACATGTAAGGAGGAATCAAAACAGTGGCAAAATAGTGTATAATCACACATACCGATCAGCTTATTAGGAAGCAGATGATCAAATACTAAAATTCTTTTATTCATATTATCAAACTAATCAAAAGAGTAATTAAATTTTATTTTCAATTACATCTTATATTATGCTACCCATTTTTCTTAAAAATTTAATACCTAATATTTATCTTTAAAAATGCCATAGTATATTTACAATTTTTATCTACTGCTCAATTTTTACTCCACAGCCACAAAGAATAACTGAAGCAGAAAACATATGTATATGTATGTATGTATGCCTATATATATGAAGTATAGGAGAGCCATTAATTCTTCTAGCTTTTTCAAATTAGAAATGTTAATATTTATATTATAAGAAGTACAAAGATGTCTATAAATTACCTACAAATTACTTACTAATTGCAAAAAAGAATAAACTGATTTTGCAGATTTATGAGAGGATGCAGAGGATGAGCCAAAAAGAATAATATCTGGACAAAAACTAACTGAAGCACTTTAAAAAAAAGAGTAAAAGATATCTATATGCAGATATAGATATATTTACATTTGAATTTTTGAGACTAAAATATTAATGTGATTATGCAGAGCTATTCCACATCATATAACTGAAAAATTCATCAATGAAAAGTAATTATGAAGAACATCTAATATTGTAACCATAGTTGCTAATGCTAAAATTGGCTGAAAATAGAATTTAAATATTCACACCAACAAAAAAGATGACTATGACATTGGAGAGATAATACAGGGATTTAGGCCCTGGCTTCGAATTAGACACACCAGGGTTCAAATTTCCCAACACTGCGTATGGTCTTCTGAAGACCATACATGTCAGGGGACACTTCTGAGTAAAGAACCAGGAATAGTCTCTGAGCACTGCTGGGCATGGCTCCCCAAAATAAAACAAAAAAGACTATGCAAGGCAACCAATGTGTTAACTAGATAGAAGGAACTCTTCTGCAATGTATACATTCATCAAATCACCCTGATGTACATAATTAAATACCCGATGCTAATTACACTCGAATAAAGTTGAAAAAAAGAAATACGCTAAAAAGAAAATGGAGATTTTGGTAGGTTATAAAGTGGAAAATTCTGATATTTAATTGATTCTTCCTGATACTGATTCTTGATGATTCTTCCTGATTCTGAATGTTAGCACAAAATCCAAAGGTCAGTCTGTGAACTGGTTCCATGCCTTTAATTTGTTCCTTTCATTCCTGAAGATTGTTTTAAGAGTTTACTTATTTGAGTAAGTCCATTTACTAAATTACCTTTGCTGTTTACTGAAATACATGTCTTTTGCTTTTTCACTTTCTTATGTGTGGGAACAATTTTTCTGTGCATTTTCCTTAATGCTCCCTAACTGAAAAAAAAAAAATCAAATAAAGAGTTCTTAAAAACTCAACATCTACCCTACTTAGCCTAAAAAGGAAACACTGATAAAAGTTAATCCACATAACTGAGGAGAACACAATATGATACCACCCCACCTCCCCTACCTTACAACTCAATGTCTTCTCATTAAACACATCTTTGGTTTCATCAGCTAGTGCATCGAGGAAAAAAAAAGAAACAAAAGTAGGTTCTACATTATTTAGAAAAAAAGTAAGATTCACATTATTTCTAAACCAAATGCTTAGTTATTGTTCAAACTTCTCTTGTAACTTTCATGTATTTAAGATTACATTAGCTTGGCTTCAAAATTGATCCCCACAGATATATAAAACATATGGAAATCTCCACTGTGGTAATGTCAGAAAAAAGAACAATACTCGCCAGAGAGATAGTTCATATGAGTAGAGACCTTGCCTTGCATGTGGCTGACCTCAGTTTGATCCTGGGCACCCCATATGGTCCCCTGGGCTCTCTAGGAGTGATTCCTAAGTCCAGAGCCTGGAGTGAGCCCTGCCAGGTGTGGCCCGAAAACCAAAACCAAATAAACAAGAAGAAACAAACACAAAACACATCTAATAGACTGCACCAAATAAACCTTATCTTTATAATAATACAGAAACTAAGTCTTCAATACATTTTATATTTAATGTGTAATCTATGATATGTTGCACACTGCTTTACATTTGAAGTTTTGATTTGCCAAGCACATTGCTAAATAATTCTAGGGAAAGGACAAAATTCCAAAGTATACTCTCTCTCTCTCTCTCTCTCTCTCTCTCTGTCTGATATACAGAGAAAAAGAGGCAAAGAGGGAGAGGGAAGAAAGGAGAGGAAGAGAGAGAGAGAGAGAGAGAGAGAGAGAAAGAAAGAGATAGATAGAGAGAGAGAGAGAATATAACCCAGAAAGTTTTTTGCAATGAGCTGTGTATCTCTAATAAAGGCCCTATGTATTTAGCAATGTCCTGTTAATCTCATTGTAAAGTCACCTGTTCATGCAACCAAGAATCAAAGGTAGCTGAATTGGAAGGTATTGATCTTGTTAGTGGAAGCATAAAAATAACTTAGGAAGTGGGGGGAAAAAAACCAGAAACACATAAGGAAAAAATTTATTAGATGCCTAGAATGTTTCTTTTTATATAAGACTCTTAGAAAGTTGTGCATGGCGAGGATAAACTAAAAGAATAAACACTGAAGTCACCTCTATTTTATATGCTATTACAGTATAAAATTAAGGCCAAATTCTCAAAATATTTAAAAAGCATGGTAGTACTAATAGAATGCCTTGGCACCAACAATGACCTTATCAATAATTTAATCATTTGAATCTCAACTAGATTTAGTTCATACATATATTCACTACACACACAATTTCCTGTGCTATTCTGGGCTTTCTTCACGAGCTTAAAAGTCAAAAGAAAATTCAGTTCTGTATGAAATGAGTAACCAATAGGAATTCTTTCAGTAAGGTTCTGTATTCTTAAAAAGGAAAACTTACTCTAAGAAATGGGACCATATAAAGAAGTCACTCCAAAAATTAGCACGCTTTCACTGCTGTTAAAAATATTTAGTGAGAGTTTAAGTCACATTTAAGAGTAGCATTAAACCTCTTTCCTTAAAGATAGTGTTAGTTTAATTGCTGGATACTATTAATCATGCTTTATGTACATTATACCTGCATCCTGCAATGCTCAGATTTTACATTTTACTACTTGTGATAATACAATAATTCATATTTTACCAGACTTAGAGTAACTGAAATTGGTATAAACAAGAAAAGACCATTTGACATATTAACTTTAATAATAAACTGCCCAAACTTAGGACAGTTTCAATGTCTGCACTTACACCATTATTCTCCATTTTAAATTTCTGTGTAATTAAGCTAGTATGTCCACAGGATGAGTAACTCCTGATGCTGTTATTGCTTGGGGAATGACCCATGGAAACACCAAGAGAAAGCTATTTCCTACCAATCAGTTTATGAAAATGATCAATTTGATTGAGGTTTAAATAAACAGCATTAATCCAACATGGCTAGTGGTCTTATGCCTATGTTAATATATAAACACATTTATATATTAGATCATCATCCTTTTTCTTTAATGACATCAACACAACATTTCCCAAAGTGGGCAATATATTGCCCCCAGTCCTGGAACTAGTGAAATGATGATTGGGGGGCAGTAACCTGTAGTGTAATTGGGGGTCACTTTTACTTTACTCCCTAAACAAGGTAGATTTTCTGGGGGGTGGGAGAAATGCATAGTTTTTTTTTTCTTCCCCTGAAAAGAGGGAGAGTCACGTAAGTCTACAAGTCTGGAAACTCGTTTTTGTAACAAATGAGTAATGCCGCCAACCTGAAAGACAAATAAAAACTCCAGGCCACACGGGGGCAGGTAAGGGTCATCCCTCCCTTCCTCCCTTCTCCCCTCCCATCCGGTGTCCTGTCCACCATGCCCACAAATGCCTCCAGGCACATTAGGGCCAAGATCCAGAGACTCACAGATGAATCGGCAGCTCAACACAGAGACATATCCAGACCCCAATTATTTAAAGTTTTAGACATCCTATGCTATTCACAACAATACAAAATAAATCATTTAGC